ATAAAATAAAATACAGATAAAATGCTCTGGCAAGTAGAGGGAGGGAAATAAAGAAACACAGATTCACTGCAGAATCTGTGTGCACATTCCAAATTTAAGGATTTATTGTGTGTGTTTCTGTTGCTTTAATAAAGGTATTTATTGTGCACTTTGACACAACAGTTTTGTTCAATCACATACGAAGTGATGGGAAAACCCTGTTGCTCCATAAAATTACAAAGAATATTTTAACTTTCTTTTCTCACACTGTTAAATTTTAATATATATTAAAAATTGATAGTATTTGAATGAAAGTACAGTAGAAATAAACATTCCAGTCATTTAATTTATGTCACGAATTATAAACATGGTGTACTTTTATTTGCAACTAAACAACGTTGTGTTCTGGAAGCACAAAAATCATGAAATATTCATACAAACTACAATTCATTATTTTAAGCTCTTTAGTTATAGGATTTTCACAGTGTGCTGTAAAATCATTGTCACTAACCAGAAACCTCCCCATCATTCTGATGTGCTTTGCAGTAGGCAGGGTCTGATTAAAAGCTTTGTTCTTTAGGGATAGTTGTACAACTTAAACCATAAGGACATCACATTAATATCTTAATTTGACAATACAAGAGCATAACTTAGGCCAGACGGTGCTAGTGTAGATGTAATTGTCTCTCTTGCTATCAAGGCTGAGGTGGATTATGTGTGTCTGATCTCAGTTTCCATTTCCAGACCTCTCCCTGATCAGCAGGGAACAGCATCATTGTAATCAAAAGATGTTCCAGGCTTGTCCCCAATCGATTATAGACAGGCAGTGACATCTTCCTTTTCCTACAGATACAAAGAGGCAACATAAAGGATTTGGAATCTTACATGCAACAGTTTCAGGTACAAATTGGTCCAGAAAACAAATTTTGCCAGTAGAGTTTTTATTAGAATAATCAATCTAAAATTCACTAAGCACTTTGGGGCACTTTAAATATTTTTATGGGTTTTATCCTCTATAAGGTCAATGCCATTATCACTGGGGGCCATCCCTTGGTAGAGGTGTTTGGATCAAGTGTTTACTGTATTGGAGCTTGAATCATAATTCAAACAAAGCGAAACACTGAGAAGCTGTCCTGGCTTCACTGAAATCTGAATTTATTTTGTGCTGCAAAACCAATAATAGTGAGCTTCACTTGGTGTTAGATAAAATCAGAAGAACAAGGGTTCACTGATAGTCATCACATGATGCACTATTTCATTTTGTTAATACAAAATATAAAATTTATGGTTTTAGTGGGAGAGACTTCACCCTTGCTATCAATTGCCAATAAAATTATTAATAGTTGTAATGTGTGGGGAAGCTTGTAAGGCACTAAACTAGACAGAAAAAAAAAACTGTTTAAAAAGGTGATTTGCTGACTGAGAAAAGATTAAAAAAAAAAAAGGAGGAAAAAAATCGGGAAAAGCCTAAAAAAAATGTTACCTAACTGTGCTTCATAGAAGAAACTAATGAAATACTCTCGTAAATACATGAGGTATTTTCATTCAAAAAGAGAATTGGAAGATGGGTCATGCCATGCTGTCATATTGATTCATTTTAGGCATCTGGCAGGTGTATTTAAGGGTAGGAAGAGAACAATTAACCAGTATCATACAATGAGTTGTGGTATGACACTAAAGCTCAGCCCAAATGACTTAACTTTCATCTATGCTGGCAAAAACCTGAGAGTAACACCTAAAACTGAGCTTCTTTTTTTTCCCTTCTGCAGCTGCAGTGAGATCAACTCAAGCCCTTATGTCCTGGAAGTTCCCTTTTCCTTCTGTCTTTCCTCATTTTACTTCTGTCTTTCCTCATTTTACTTCTGTCTTTCCTCATTTTTACTTGTGTCTTTCCTCATTGCACTGTAAACCCTGTAGCAATTTGCACACCCTGGGAATGATCCTCTATTTAAGCTCAGTTTTTCGTTGCTCTGGCCCTGCTCCAAGTGAAAGTAAACCACACGTGGCCAAAATTATTCTTCAAAGGTTAAGGAGTTTCTGCTGCTCACACTTCTCATACCTATTTTATCAAACATTGCATGTGACAAACAAGAACTTGTAGAAAAATAGTCTTATGCAATAATTGTGCACGTGCTCCTGGTGTTAAGCTCAGTATGAATTATCTAAAGTCAATCTTGAAAAACTAAATTGCTTATGTTTTTAAATTAACACTTTATATTAAAATTGGATTTGCTGAAAACATACTGTAACTCAAACATCCATGCCATGCATTGTCAAAACTGATATTAATATTTTCATTAAATAATCAGAGTATTTGCTTCTGATTGTAACCATTTCTGTTTCCAGTTTCAGCAATCTCAAAGGCAAGTATTCTCCCTGAAGTACCTATTTATTTTAGGAAGGAATAAAATTAGGATCTCAATCTCTGTTCATGTTAGAAAAAGCTGAGAAATCCAGAAAAGGACAGTGACCAGTGTGCAATAGCCTTGTTTAGGTGATAAGGGATGCCACAGGTACTAGAATTCACCCAAATAATTATGCCTATTATGTATTATGCAGAGTCAATGGAAATTATTAGGACAGACCACTGGTATTCCTGATGCAGAGGGATCTGGAGCCAATCTCTTAATTCAGGCTTCTATAAGAGCAGAGAACAAGAGCAGCCAATCTCTTAATTCAGGCTTCTATAAGAGCAGAGAACAAGAGCCCTGAGAAGCCCCTGTATTCATGTGCCTTCATATCTGTTACTAACCTGTCCATTTAATGTCAGAGCCATCATGGAAACACCATTTCAAAACTGCAGGGTTTAATTACAAGGCAGAAAATCCATTTGATACATCAAGACTCACAAAAGTCTTAATATGACACTTTCTATCACTGCTTGAGACAAGGGGATCAAAAAATGCCATCACACATTCAAAAATCAGCTGAGCCAGACAATCTGTTCAGCAGAAGAAAGAATTTCGTTTTGGTTTTATTGCTTTTCCTTTTATCTTCCACTTATGGAGCATGATGGTCTTTAGAGTAAATCAACCAATATTCACAATTAATTATACACCAAGAGAAATGCAGCAGCTGCAGGGAATCTTCTGTCTCAATATATATGGGTAGAGACGGGTAAAATTTTGATGCTTTCCAAAGTTATTACTCTGGGTTCCATTCTGATGGAGACCATGATCTTTTGGAGACTGGAAAAATCCATGTCCAGGAAAAAAAAGTCTCATTCAAGTGCCTCAACACTTGTGTTTACTGATAATGCCACTTTTCCGTGTCAGTTGGCTGTTGTGTGACACCGAAAGGCATCTCTCTATTAGTCCCTTACTTTCCACCCAGCTCACCTTGAATTCTTCTGGATAAAGGAACAAAACCAGTGTAAACAACATCTTGGGCCACACATTGTAAACTGTGTTCCAAGGAGTCACTGTAGAAATGGAAATAAGCTCCTTCCTCCCAGTGTTCCCTCAGGTGCTCCCACACTTGGGTCTGAGTTCACTCACTGCTGTAATTTCCACAAGGAGAAGAATAACAAGGACAAAACTATTATTTTTGGGGGAGGATATTTTTTTAATTGGAAGAGAAAAACACCTTCTTGGCACTCAGCTTTTACATAAAAACTAGGTGATATAACATTGCACTTGTACCCAGGTAATTACACATAACTTGAAGGAGTGGAAAGGTGTGTCACACAGTTTTTTTATGTAAAAGGAAAGGAAAAAGGAAAGCAATTCCACTTTCCTCTGTTATAATTTCTGCTGTTCAATCAGACTTGGCAGCTCACTGAAATATTCAGAAGAGCAGAGTAAAAATGTGTTGATGTAATGGCTCTCACTCATTGGTACAGTTTAGCTTTCTACACTCCTTTCCAAACCCTCATGTTTCCATGAAAGAGGTTGATTGATCCATTAATCTACAGGTTATGACAACAACATGCAAAAAAAAAAAAGACACAGAAAAAAACAAAAACAAAAAAAACAAACAAAAAACCCCAAAGAAACAAACAAACAAAAACCAAACAGACAAAAACCCAAACCAAACCAAAACAAACAAAAAACCCAACCAACCAACCAACCAACCAAAAACAAAAAACAACCCAAACAAAACAACAACAACAAAAAACCAAACCAAAACCAAATAAAACCCCTCAAGTGCAAACACTGGGAATACAAGTTTATTTTCAAATTTCTGAATGTTTTACAACACCAGGGAGCAAAACCAGAAACACCGAAGAAAATACTCCTAGAAGTCTCCTTGTCCATCCCTTAAGGGTCTCATTATCTTTCTGTGCAAAAGTTGGCATTTCTTTTTAACTTTCTTGCAAGGAGCAGTTATTCTTTAATGATTATCACGTGGAGCCTTGGCCTTCCCAATGCCTCCACTTTGGCTTCTCTCTTTAGAAATATTCTAAACTGCAGATACTGAAAAAACATCAGAACATGAGGGTGGTTTGGTTTTGGTTTTTTTTTGGTGAACTTAGAATCTTTTTTGCTACTAAAGAGACAGTATGAAAAGACAACATAAGAGAACATTTGTAGTCCTTGTGTTGCAGTTCAATAAGACTTTTGGCTTCTTATTTCCATGTTTATTACAAAACAAGGAGCAAAGCTTGAAGAAGCTGAATAGACTCCAGCTCCCATTGCATGAAGATTGAATTCCAGTTCCCAGAGCTGAAGGGTACTACTGATGTCCATTCCCTGGGCACTTAATTCCATGTATTTATCAGTAAAAGCATAGAAGTGAATCAGAATAGCTGGTTTTTGTGTTTGCTGTGATGCAGAGTGTATTGATAAGAGAGTTATTTTGTGTTTAGAAGGCCAGGCAGCGTTTAATCTGTCACTGCAATGCTTGTCCTGCAAAAGCTGCCCCATGAACAGAACTGTAGAAGTGGAATCTCCTCCTATTTACTCAGCATGAACTGCAATCAGTATGTTTTTTGGGGTTTTTGGCTCATTTGTTGTTTGGTGTGGGGGGGAGTTTCCCTAATCAGGTTTTTATGTGTGATTACTCCAGACCCTGAGGCATCTTCAGCACACAGATGTGGTCATTTTTACTCCAGAACTGGATGGCACAGTCCATCTCGTCCTCCTCCACACTGGCACCAGTCCACATCTCTTACCGTGCCACCTCCGGCCGATTTCTGTTTGCACCTCAAAACCAAAGGAGAAAGTTATTTTGTGGTTAAATACTGCTTGGGAGCAGACCAGTGGGAAAGAAGCAACACAGAAACAGTGGCTAGAGAAGAAGAGGGAAATTTTTAGACATCTCAGTTCAAGTTAGTTCCCTTTCTAGCTGATGAAGTAGGATCCTCCAGTTTATCCGGCCTGTCCCACCATGTCCATCTTCCTGCACTGATGAAAACTTCCAGTGTGGCTGGCTCAGAGTTTGCCTCCTGTGCTGACAAGGGTAAATGAACCCTACTCTACCTTTCAAGAATTAAGGATGTATTGTGTGTAGTGATAGGACAAGGGAAAATGGCTTTAAACTGAGAGTAGATTTTGCATATTATGAAGAATTTGCTCAGAGGGTGGTGAGGCACTGCCACAGGTTGCCCAGAGAAACTGTGGCTGCCCCATCCCTGGAAGTGTTCAATGCCAGGTTGGACAGGGTTTGGAGCAACCTGGGATAGTGGAAGGTGTCCCTGCCCATGGCAGGGGGTAGAACAAGATGAACTTCAAGGTCCCTTCCAACCTAAACCATTCCACGATTCTGTGTGAGCTGATCCAGTTCTGTGTTCCTACTTAATGACCATGGGCACAAAGCTCAAAGCTTGTTATTCCAGCTGTCACACAGTTAAATAAACAAAAAAAAAAGGTCCCACTTCCATTTTTGACTTACCTGGTTTCCATTTCAAGCCTGTAGCCTCAGTCCACCTTCCTCCTCTGAACTGAAAGGTCTATCAGCACTAAGCCTGAGGTCTCTAACTCCAGCACTCTAAATCAGGTTCTCCACCACTAGAATATTTTCTCAGCAATTTTTTTTTATTCTTCTCCTTTTTTTTTCAAAGTATTCCATTGAAATTTTTTTCTACTAATGGTCTCACCAACATTGCCTACACAATTAAACATGTTTGCTCCACATCGCCTGCTCTTCCTCAGTTGCTAAGGGATGTTGTCTTGTTTCCATCTGCTTCTAGAAAAGTATGATCTGCAGCAAGTTTCTTAACCAACATTCACCAATTTGTGGCTGAGAAATAATTCTGCTTTGCTATTTAAGATGATGAGGGGAAAGCCAGCAAGCAAGCAGGAGAGACTTTTGCTTTCTGTTGTTGACAGCTCTGTATATCATGTACTGGCATGTTCACAGAAACATAAGAGTGGGTCCAGACCACCCACTAAAGCCTCCTGTCACATCTGATTCTTGTAAAAATGTGCCTTTCCAGATGTTTAATGGGAAGGAAATTTCTAAATTGAAGAGTTGTGTGTCTGGAATCTCAAACTGAACGTCAAGTTGTGTCTATAGTTAGAAGGGATTAGGATTGTTAGTCAGTATAGTCAATAATCCATAGACATATAGGCAGCATAGACAAAAATTCACAGCCATAAACTCAAACAGAAGGCCAAGATGTGTTAATATATTTGAAAAGATTCGATTTAATATTTCAGAAATTTCTGATAAAATTCAGGAAATCTGGACTGTGGCACATGTAAATAATTAAATACTGTTTGAAAGCCAAACCAGCCCTAGACTTTAAACTTGGAAAATGAAGATTTGGTCAATACAGCCCAGGGAGTCTGGAGTGATTAGGGGCAGGATTCACCTCCTAAATACACCTTTGACACTCCAGTGGAAGTCCTTTATGAGGAGGGAGGGTGGGAATATATGAAACAGGACTGTCTCTTTTTAGGAGCTGCAGGCAGAGTCCAGCAGAGTCTTAGTGCAGTCTGAAACTGAACCCTATCATACCCTAAAATAGCTTCCTCAGCTACCCTGGAGTCAGAAAAGAAGAGGAAATTCCAGGGTTTCAACATATTCTAAAATATGGAGGATAAACTTTTTTGTTTCTTATATAATTCATTCTCATCACAACATGATTACATCACAACATCATTACTAAGATAAATGGAATTGTTCCTGTCCCATCTACAGTAAAATTCTGAATTATGTATTCTGAACAGAAAAACAGTTTTAGCAACATGAAAATACTGAAAAGCTTTAGAAGCATAAGAAAAACCCTGAAAAATAGTATTTAATTATGGGGCAAACAACCTCGATTTTAACTCCAATTTAATCATAGACCTTTGGTGGATGGAGATCTTTCTGCATCACTGCAGCAGCTTGTGCTTTTAGGGGATTTCCAAGCCCTGCTGTAGGGCAAAAATGTGAAGAAAGGATAAAAAATACTTGAGGGGTAGAAAAGTAGTAAAAGTTGATTTCTCCACTAGATGGCTTCATTCCCATGAAGATAATTGAGCTGAAATCCATGGACCTTGATTCCCATGTTAACAGACAAGGCTGAGAAACTGCAAGATTTGATTATCTGCTTGTATGAAACTGATGATTTGTTGTGTATATTTGCCAATAAAAGCAATATTGTAGAGGATATAATTCCCTTACCTCTTGGTTCAGGAAACAGTAGAGAACTGCTACAATAAAGCCCTGAGAAAGACCAGAAAAAAAAAAAAAAAGTTTTGGGTGTTAGCAAAGTTTGAAAAAGCCACTGTCATTACCTGGCTTCATGATGTGAATTAACGTGTATCACTAGAGGTGGGAGGATTACTATAAATTGAAAGATATTTTCTGTATCTCCAGTAAAGCTGAACAGGCAGATAAACACCTGGTAAGTGGCATTTAGTTAAAGTCAGTGAAACAATACGAATCCACAAGAACAGATGATGTGGCAATTGAAATTCTCCCACGACATATTTACAAACGTATCATCCATTCTCCAGCCAAAACCACTCTGAGTTAATTCTTTACACGTTATAAATCAGTAAGGAAAAATGGACTTCAGAAGGAGATCCATGGATGGAGTTCATCCAGCTTTTCAGTCAACTTCCGTGTCTTTGCAGTGTATCAGATGAGGTTTATTTTCTGCCTATTGAATCTGTTGAAATCTGAACTGAGATAAACTCAGGACAATCCCAGGAGGTCAAAGGACCTCCATGAGCAGATACCAGCCCAACGCTTCACCCTTTTATTAATTAACTTATTCATTAAATTGTTCATTAACTCAGTGAAGGTCCTCTCCCTGTAGAGAGGGTCGGGATTAAGATGGGCAGAGTCTGTTGGACAATGGATTCAATCCTCAGGAGGACCAAACCAGCCCAACTGCTGGATTATTGGTGATTCTGACTGATAAATAATGCCATATTCCCTTGTGAGGTTTGCTGGGATTCCCACAGTTGCTTTTTGGAGACTCTGAGGTGCAGCACAGGGAGAGGGAGGGAAGCAAAGGATAGTTGGGTGCTATCATTTTAGGAGTCGCAGACAGAATCCAGTAGTCTTAGCACAGTCTGAAACTGAACCCCAGTCACACCCTAAAATAGCTTCCTCAGCTACCCTGAAGTCAGAAAAGAAGGGAAAATTCCAGGGTTTCAACATATTTTAAAATATGGAGGATAAACTTTCATGTTTCCTATGTAATTCATTTAAGATTCATTCTTCTCACAACATCTAGACCATATAAATGGATCTGGATACCAAAACAAATGGAGTTATTCCTGTCCCACCTAAGTAAAATTCTGAATTATACATTCTAAACAGAAAAACATGTTTATCAACACGCAGAAATACTGAAAAGCTCTTAACCCGGGTAGCCAAACTACCTGGGGGATATGTCAGAGCAGCCTCAGGAGCTGCCCTGGCTGGCACCGAACTCCTTGAGCTGTCCAAGCCCTGTGTGCCAATTCAGAGCAGTTGGGGGCATCCACCTAACATTTTGCAGGAGGGAAAGTGATGTGACAGGATGGAGCTCTGCATGTGCTGGCACATGCATCAGGCACTATTCCATGTTTATGTTTGATTATCAATTTATCTTTGGCCAAAAAATCACCGATGGGGCTGGACCTGCAGCTTCAGTTGCCTCTGGATAATTTACCATCAGCCCAAGTGAGCTTGTTAGTGAAGTCAGGGAAGGCATGTGGACTAGGACTCGTAGCTTGACTTTGACCCACCATCCAATTTACACACTTCTCTGAAAGTCTTGGCCTTGTATTTGCAAAGTCTGCAAATCTGCAATCAATCCTAAAGCCAGGTAGGATGGAGGGAATGTCTTCAGGGATTGTGACCCAGCAAAGAACCACGAACTTGGTGAGGAGACACTGGATTCAGGATCCTTTTGTGCAATCCTAGTTGTCATCCGGACACAAGATTAAATCAGAAAAACTGCCAAGAAGGAACTGAAGCCTCTGTGGTCACTTTACCTGGAAAGATCCAATGCAGAGCTCCAAATAAAGCCGGACCCCCAGGCTGGTGTATTCTGGGAGGAAGTTGAAGACAATATAATGGGTTCCAAATAATGGAATTAGGAGTAGAGTTGCCCTTGAGAGACGTCTGGTACAGCACATGAGAAGAAGAAAGGTAACATTATTTCCCTCAGTAAAGACTAATGCACAAAGTATGGCACAGTACTGAACAGAAATGAAAAAAACCTTAATATATATATATAAATATATGTAATAGAAATTAATATGCAGACTCCCTTTACAGGTCTCATATAGGAAAAAGCAGCTTAGAGGGTAATTTATCCTGCTCTAGATCAGACATCTAATGCAGATTCAATTAATGGTTTTCTTGTCTCACAATTGATTTTAATTGGAAGGCAGATATCTGAACTCTTCTGAATATATCATGTTGGCTCATATTAGGTGAATTGAGTCTTATCCTTTGGTCAGTTTCCTTAAGAATGGGATAAGGTTGGGAATTTCTAAAATTTAATGCCAGTTAAACCAAGCCTGTCTGTGACACTGAAAAAGTACTTCTCTATTTAGAAAATATTATATAAGTTTTTATTATTGAAATAATTGATTTTTTAAAAATTATACCATACATTACCTGTACTGAGAAGAGTTATTGAAGTTGATTTGTCTAGGGTCTAGTTTTTTCAGCAAAATTCTGATGATGTTGACAAATAGGACAAAATTGACCTGTTCACAATATTTGGGAGAGGGGGGAAGAAGAAAATGAAAAATAAAAGGTTAATTTCTCATGTAAAACTTCTCAGTGAAAATCTGAGGCGGTTTAAATTTCATTTATAATGTATTGTGTGCAGTTTCAACAGTGTCAGTGCAAGGTTATTAATGTTATTTCTATTGGCAGCATTCAGGTGTGTAAATAGATTACATTCCTGCTTAAAGAAATGGCTGAAGATGAAAACTTGAGAATTTGACTTTGCTAAGCAAAATATTTTCATCGATACCTTGTGTGACTCTTTTACTTTTCGTAGTTTATATCAGTTGGAATATCTTTTGAGATCACTACTGCATTAAGTTTTTGCTGATCTCTTTAAGCATTGTTATTGGAACTTCTCTGGCTAAATATCTCTGCAGTGAGATACCTCCATCTGAGCTGATCACCCTGTTCTGCCTTTGCCAGCAGTGGAGAGCCAACAAAGCCTCAGGAGGTGTTGGGAACGACTCATCTCCTCCCAGAGAAGACATTTATTTTAAGTCAGATGCCAAAAGCACAGATTTCTCTCTGTTGACTCTGAAGGAGTCCCTGAGGAGCATTAGCTCAGCTCCAAAGCTCGCTAGGGTCAAGCCTAACTTGCAAATCAAATTTTCTACAACTGCAATTTGGCACAGACCTATCCAAAGTCTGTGAGGCTGCTCGGTTCTCCACAGTCAAAAGATCCTCCCTTATGCATCTCTGTGTGTCCATAGACACCAGCTCTTCTTTAGGTGAGGCTGAATGCTCCATTTTGCCTAAGAACATCCCCATTTTACCAGAAACTCCAATCTCATTTTACCCATCAGTGATGCCTCGTGTACGTTCCAGCAGAAAAATCATCACTGCAGTCCCTTGGCTTCTGATGTGGATGTCAGAAGGGAGGAAAATAATGGAGGTAGGAAGAAATGCAATAATTTATTGAAATATGGTGAAGTATGACCACAATTCGACTTGAGATTCTTTATTCATGTTATTTATGCATATCTTTAAAGCCCTTTCCAACCCAAACCGTTCTATGATTCTATGCGCCTCATTTGCATGCAGCTGTCCTCCAAATAAATTAAGCTTTTAAATAGCTGGTCTTAAGGTCCAGTAGCTGCTTTCTCAAAAACACTGCTTGGGTTTAATGACACGTGGGAGTAATTTTATATGATAATTCATTTCAAGCCCATCAGTTTATCCAATAAATGTCAGGCTCAAGAGTTATTATCACTGTTATCAGCTGTGAGCAGAAACCTACTGACCTTGAAAGTTTGTGTTAAAATTTATGGCTGCTTCTGAGGTTTTATGCTGAAAAACTGTTTTCAAATATTATAAGGATGGTTCAGCTACTCACTCACGATTAATTTCAATTAAGTGACAATTCTATGAAGGTTTTAATTTGTTTGAAGGACGTTTGCTTTGTAAGGGTGTCAGTTCTCTGCCCCTTTATAGTTTGCATTGTATGTAGGCAAGTTTACAGTAGAAATTCTACCATTCCTCTTCTCACATCTCAGCAAACAGTAACAAGATTTTAATTTAAAAGCCTTTTTTTCTCCTAATTAATGTTGGTAAACTCAGAAGCACCTACCCCCACAGAAATTATAATAGGTCCTTTGATTAGCCACCAGTAAGGAGAGCCTTCATTAATATCCCAGCATCTGCAAAACACAGCAAGAGTTTAGAAAAAGACAGGCATGTAATCACTGCAATAAATTCAGAATATAAATCAAGAACACAGAATAATGTAGGAAACAAGGACTTACGCCGTGTCTTCGAAGTAGAATTTTGCCAAAATCCATATAAGAGTGAAAAGTGTAGGAAAACCTGTCAGAAATTTAAACAAAAATTGGGGTTTTCTGGTTTCATCAAATAATCCAAACCTTGTCCACTGAAACTCTGCTGTGATGATACAAATCATTTGTTTTCAGAGCTGGAGTCACCCTTTGTGGTCTCCTCATGTAAGAGGAATTGTTTTAAACTCAAAGTATAAACCTAAAAGGAATTCTTCTGATTCCCAGGGTAGAATGAAGCAAGTTATGTCTCGTTTGTCTCTTGAAGGTAGAAAGGGACACAGAAGCTACTTTGCACATGATGTAGTTCTGTCCCAGAGGACTGAACTTGCAGCCTCTTGCTCAGATGAACCCAACTCACCTGTGTGCTCTCCCTGAAGGTGGCACTTGTATGCAGAGAGCACATTTAACCCCAGGTTTAAGTGACAAGGGTGCTTTTTGCAGGACAAAATATTTAGGAGCTGCGTTTACCAAATCTTAAAATAATAATACTGTTAGCACTTTACAAACACAGAAGGTGATACACTCTATCTTGAGCCTTCTTAAAAAGGCTCCCTAAAACACCCAAAGTGATTCAGTTTGCCGAGTTGTCAGGCCTACATTAACCTTTGGTGGTAACATCCATGGATTGTCTCCCTCAACTGACCAAAAAATTCCTCTGGGTAAGTGTATTCACCTGCCATAAAGGAGTTCTCTGTTTTACACAGCAACTTGCTCTGGGCAGCCACTTAATCTCTGATTTCTGGGTCCCCATAAGAGTCTGAACACTCAGATTTATTCCAGACTCCACCAGAAAGGGTGAGGGTGTTGCTGTTTCATGCCTGACCTGTTATTTAGTGGATAGGGCTTTTTTATTCATAGAATTGCCAATGCATAAAATGGGCTGTAGCAACATTAGGACAACAAAAATCCCTTCTATGACTCCAGATGGACCCATTCTCAGGCTGTGTAACTATACTCTGCATGAACAGGAGCAAGTCACATCTAACTTCATTGTCTGTGATGGTTCCTTAGAGGTGGCTGCGTTTTCAGCAGGGAGAAGAAGGTTGAGAATGGATCTCTCCCTGTGGGTTCCCAAATGTACTTACTTTTCCACTTAATTCACTGGCACTTTAATCCTGTTCTTTAAAAAAAAATTGGTTTTTCCTCACTAATATGCATGTAAAAATAAAATCAGAGCAATGCCTAAGTTAGGTAGTTAAGTAGATTAGATTCCACATCCAGTATTTTTAATGGGCTGGATCACAGAATCACAGAATCATGGAATGGCCTGGGTTGGAAGTGGCATTAAAGATCACCCAGTTTCAACTACCAGGGACAACTTCCACTAGATCAGGTTGCTCAGAGTCCCATCCAACTGGCCTTGAACACTTCCAGGGATGGGGAGTCCACAACCTTCCTGGACAACCTGTGCCAGGGCCTCACCACCTTCACAGGGAAGAACATCTTCCTTGTCCCATCACTCCCTTCCCTTGTGCATATTCCCTCACCAGCCTAGTTTTAAGCCCCCATTAGGTACTGGAAACTGCTCTAAGATCCCCCCAAAGCCTTCTCTTCTCCAGGCTGAACTTGTTTAACATTTTGCCTTTCTTTAATTTCCTGGAAAAGCCTTACTTACCCCAGCCAAAGAGGACAAGCCACCAAAAATATCTTCTTCCATGAGAAAGGGATGAGAGAAGCAGACAGTTTAGGTAAAGAGCCTCCACCAGCAGCCACATGAAGTTGGTCATCATGAAGTAGTGACAGAAAACCACAGAGATCTTACATTCAGTCTAAGGGACAGGACAGTCATAGTTTAAGGTGGATACAAGTGTTTGATTTGCAGCTGTAGCAGACATCTGTAATTCTGGTTGAGTTCTACAAAGAACAAGATCTCACTACTGCATGATGCTTAAAATGAGATCTTCAAATGTAAAATGGCTTTTTTGAGTGATGAGACTTTAACCATCTGTAGTGGTTTGAACCTTGTTTTCCCCAGAGACTAAGAGAAGTGGTAGACCCCAAGGGGTGGAAACCCCTGGAAGTTTTGAAATTCTGCCCAATGGACGCTCCTGCAGAAATGTAAACATACCACAACCAGACCGGAAAAGAAGAGTTGTAGTTTTGTTGTAGGAGAGGTGGCCATGTTGTAGAGCCACGAGGAAGGGGCTCTGAGCCCCTTGGGGCCTCTGGCCCCCTCCCAGCCCCTGGCTGGGGGCTGCAGGGACCTGGAACAGCATAAAGCTGGGCTAGGTGCCTGTAGTATGCCGGGAGATGTTTTCTCCATGGGCACAGAGCAGCAGCCGACGCTGACCAGAGAAACGGTGGCAGAGAGCCAGAGATAAGAACCTGAACTGAAGAAGCAGCAGAAGCAACATGCAGCACTGCAGAGGAGACTCCTGGAAGGAGAGTCGAGGAAAGGAGAGCCAGCAGCTGAGAGCTACAGAGTTCTTGGGGGTAAGACTGATACCAGATCCCCAAAACTCCTTTGAGACCTCCTGGAAGGAGGAAGATGATGGACTCTTACTTGAAAGAGCCTTGAAGTGCGACATGCACTGTAGAAAGGAGCTAGAGAGCTCCGAGAGGAATGCAGGGGGAGTTGACCTTGGCTTCCCCCCCCTTGCACTGCTGCCACGGTGGCAGCCTGAGAGACAGGGCACAGAGGCCCTGCAAGAGATACCAGACCGTCACGAAGACCCCCCTGTGTCTTCGTGATATGACGTGGTGAAACGACCTTGTCTGGGGTTACGAAGACCACGGAAGACCCCTCGGTTGTGAGGCGATGGGGCCGAGAGAGAGGCTTGGATACCTCCCTCGTGGAGTGCTGGCAGAAAGCCAGCTATCAGCTGCTGCATGCATGAGAAGAAGAAACCTGCTGCCTCAGAAGATGCTGCTGTTTAAGGACTGAAAGGGATCTGTCCTTCTTTCCCTCCTGGACTTTTATTTGGAGGGGAGAAGAGATCTGATCATTGTAAATACTATATGTCATGGTAGAGATAGTTTGTGATCATGTGTATAATGTGATGTTATATTTATTTGTACAGTCATTGTAATATATTCCCTTTTCCCCACTTTGGAGTCTGGTGTGTTTTGTCTGGAAAAACCCATCTCACATTAGGTTGAGATGTGGGAGGGGGAATGGAGCTAGGGAATTAGATGTTGGGGCTATCTCAAACCATGACATAAATGGTAGCAGAGGATGGTTGCGAACCATCGAGGGAGATGGTTGCGAACCATCGAGAGAGAGAGATAAGAGCCATGATGCTTGTGTTAACAGAAAGAGTTTTCCAGACAAAACACAGACTGTACCATTGTAGAGTAAGTAAGGCTCTAGTAATGTAAGTTAAGTATTAAGAGTAGAGTTAAGTTTGTGATAATGCTATGTTGATATGTAGTAGAGAGATTTTGATTATATTTTAGTTTATTGAAGATTGAATGTTGATTAGAGTTTTTTTCCAGTTGTTGTGATATGTTGACATTTCGCAGGAGCGAGGGGTGGAGTGTTGTAGTGGTTTGAACCTTGTTTTCCCCAGAGACTAAGAGAAGTGGTAGACCCCAAGGGGTGGAAACCCCTGGAAGTTTTGAAATTCTGCCCAATGGACGCTCCTGCAGAAATGTAAACATACCACAACCAGACCGGAAAAGAAGAGTTGTAGTTTTGTTGTAGGAGAGGTGGCCATGTTGTAGAGCCACGAGGAAGGGGCTCTGAGCCCCTTGGGGCCTCTGGCCCCCTCCCAGCCCCTGGCTGGGGGCTGCAGGGACCTGGAACAGCATAAAGCTGGGCTAGGTGCCTGTAGTATGCCGGGAGATGTTTTTCTCCATGGGCACAGAGCAGCAGCCGACACTGACCAGAGAAACGGTGGCAGAGAGCCAGAGATAAGACCTGAACTGAAGAAGCAGCAGAAACAACATGCAGCACCACAGAGAAGACTCCTGGAAGGAGAGTCGAGGAAAGGAGAGCCAGCAGCTGAGAGCTACAGAGTTCTTGGGGGTAAGACTGATACCAGATCCCCAAAACTCCTTTGAGACCTCCGGGAAGGAGGAAGATGATGGACTCTTACTTGAAAGAGCCTTGAAGTGCGACATGCACTGTAGAAAGGAGCTAGAGAGCTCCGAGAGGAATGCAGGGGGAGTTGACCTTGGCTCTCCCCCCTTGCACTGCTGCCACGGTGGCAGCCTGAGAGGCAGGGCACAGAGGCCCTGCAAGAGATACCAGACCGTCACGAAGACCCCCCTGTGTCTTCGTGATATGACGTGGTGAAACGACCTTGTCTGGGGTTACGAAGACCACGGAAGACCCCTCGGCTGTGAGGCGATGGGGCCGAGAGAGAGGCT